AAAATAACAATATATAATCTTTTATATGTAAGCCATCTTTATATATTTTCTACATATAGTTACCACTTATATATATAAGTACTATTTCTGTTCATCCGCAAATAACAAAGTTTTACGGCTTCACAGTTTTTTGCTGACCTCTAACAATTTGAGGTCGACAATAAATTGCCCACCTCATTTTTTATAATTTCAAGGGCTATAGATATATGTATAGGGCTCAATTTAACGGTCAGATACCCCACAGACCTGCTAAAGGAGGGCAACAACCCATTATTTAAAAACATTGTTTTAAAACCTTCTATACCAGCATGAGTTTTAATTTACTACCATTAATTCACTACACAGAGGGCTCAATATTAGATTCAGGGCAACATTAAAAGTCATAGCTTTTACAAAAGACTAATTATCTGAATGCATAATCTATACAGTTTTCTAAGTTTCCTAAATCAATCAAAACTTCCTGAGTTAGGCATAATTTGTTTAATTTCCTGACTTACGCAGGATGTTCAGGTTGCTGGACACTCTTATTATTTTATAAATAATTAAACTAAATTTATAAAGAACCATTATATTGTTATTTACAGATCGAAAATCTAAATACATTTAAGATAGGGTATTACATTAATTTGTCTATTGTCTGGTTCAAAAATCTTTTCATAACTATCAGTGGCGTGCTGGTCCCAGAGGCTATGTGGGAATCCCGCTTGGGCCTATTGCTATTTATCCTAGAAAGGCTTTTTTAGAATTTTTATAACCTTTACTGCATTCTGAAAATGATTCACAAATGATATTTGTTTGCTTTATTTTTTATTTCACAAGTTAACAAATCTCTGATTCGAACTATTGGACTTCAAGCGCATATATATTAGTATTTTGTATAATAAAATGCAACTGTTTGTAACTTGCATCAAAACAAAGTTGATATTAGAAAAAATAATTGATCGTTGTGTCACTTAAATTGCTTATTATATCAGTCATTATGTAGATAAAATTAGCCAAAGGTAATTATGAGAAATAGTTGCGTTTAATTTTAACAAAATATTCATATTGTTTTTGTTAAATTAGAACAATTAATTGTTTTTTTCATAAACAAAAGTCGTAACATTTATTAATATAAATAGTTTGTGTGAGTTTTTATAAAATTGCTCTTATTGTATGTTCTACAGATATTTAAAAAGTGTAAATATTTTTTCTATATATACGAATAAATAAAGCATTTTATTCCTATTTGAAAGGATTCCGGATTCATTCATTTCGGGGACCGCAAATACGTTGAAACTAATACTTAACATTATAAACTATAGCAACCGCTTTTCAAAAAAAAAAGGTTTGTAAAGTACGTGTTTGTTGTAATTATAGCTTCTTTTTTTTTAAGATTTTACATAAAATCTTAAAAAGTGTATACATAAAATTTGAACTTCAAGTTGATAAGACCGTAAGGACTTCTTGGGGCACATGAAAGAATTTTTTTTTTGTTGTACCGTTGTTTTTGTAACGCTAATAAACACTTCCTCTTGCACTAACGCTTGTACTTTATAAATAATTTTTCATCACTTCTCTACGATTCAGGGCGTTCCATATAGCACACATTTTTTTTCATGAGCAAAGATTTACAAATATTTATAATCTATCAATCTTTAAATTAATAGTTATTAAAATAATTATTTATTTTAATAATACGACTAAATAATGGTACAGTTGTTTAGCCATATTACTAAAATATAATATGTCTTTTGCATTTGCTGTTAAGTTTCCTACTACTTTCTGTTGATTTGTCACTACTTCTTGTTAGTAAGTGACTGGGGTTGATATTTGACCAGGGCCGGGGCTGGGGTTAATAAAACTTAACCGGGGCCGATTTATGACTGGGGCTGCATTTATATTGGTAGACCATTCAAATTTACTATTTTTATCAATATCATCATCATTATTGTCATCATCATCATATTCATCATCATCTTCATCACCATCTTCATCATCATCATCATCATCACCATCATTATTATCATCATCATCATCATCATTATTATTATCATCATTATCATCCTCATTATCTTCTCCTACTTTTGCTCCTAATGATTCTTCTGCTCCACCAACTGATCTAATTGGATCTCCAAGATAACAAAACTTACTAAAGCACTCTGTTTCTCCAGCACGATATCTGGGATGCCGAATCATCAGAATCAGAAGAAGAAGCTTGAATTTTTATAGAATGTCTTATTTTTTATTTGCTATTGTAAATTTTATGAATTATATTATATTTGTATATATTTTTTTGACTTTTTCCTTATAAAAACTTTCATAATAAATATTAACTTAAACAAAATTGAAAAGAAGAATTAAGTTGAAAAAAAATCCAGTCCCTTTTGCAAAAAGCTCTGTTTTAAACCAAGTGTCTCTAACCTGCACCTGGGATACTACATTACTACTGCATAAAAATTTACTCCTATTTAAAAATATTCAATCATGTTGTTATTTATTAAATTAGAAAAGATTTTTAAAAAAATATGAATTGAAAAAGCTTATAAGAATTTATGTTGTTGTTTTATGAGATCAATCTGAATATAAAAATTACAAAATAACATAAAATATGTACATAAAAGTTTTAATTGCAAATAATGTTAATAAAAGAAATGATAACTTTTTTTTTTATAATATTAAAAAATATGTAATTAATTTTTCTATCAATCATTTTTCAAAAAGCAAGAAAAAAATTTATTTAAGTATATAAAAGAAATGCAAAAAACACTTTTAATTTTTTTTTATATTTTAAAGTAATTAATGTGCCTTTCTAATTCACTTCCCCAAGACCGTGAAGGACACTACAGACGAGGAGGCTACTTAATTGTGGTTATAACCTTCTCTCAACTCTATAACTCTGAAACACAAACCTTAATAAACAAGATTGCTGGACGAAGAAACAAGTTAAGCGCGGTACTACCAGGGGCGTGGTGGGGATAGAACTCAAAACCTCTCGTTTATGAAGCGAGCGCTCTACCACTACACACTATCACAATTAATAGTTACTATTGGCTTTTCATTTTTAATTTAATCTGAAATGCAACTTAGTAGTTAGTTTTACAGTAAGAATGGATGCATGTGATTTTGGAAAAATGACACTTGTCATAAACTAATTTATTGTAGACTGATTTTAGAAGTTTTGATTGTTATAGAGAAGATACCAAAGAAGAATTAATTTTGAGATCTGAAATAACAGAAAATTTTTATTCTGCCATCATCATAATAAAATTTAAAAAGTTGAACTATAAGCTGCTTGGAGCTATCATTAATTTAACCAAGAATTTATAGCAGGGGCTATTCTAGACGTTTTTTGACAACATCAACCATATTAGGACATCAATTTGGGCATTGCCTAAACTAAAAATTGAGGACCTTCTTTTTTTTTTAATGTTTTTTACAGTAAAAATTGTTTATTAAATTTTAAAAATTGTTTTTAAAATTTTTCTAGAACAGAGGAGTCCTGCCGCCCATATTTTTTTCCTGAAATAGCCCCTGTATAGATACTATTAGCTTTAAATGTACAAGTGAAAATGTTAATATAAAAAGAATTTTTTTCCTTTTTTTTTTGGTATTTAAAGTTCTCAAACTTATTGGCAAAGTAACATAAATAGATTGAAATTTAATGAGTTGATTCTGACTAAATACTGTGTTAATGAATTTCCTTGCATTGGTATGATAAATGAAATTTTGTTGTATTGAAATTGTTTCATGATGGCATTGATATTGTTTCATGATTGTTAAAATTTCAATCACAATATTCTGCTACAAAAGAAAATCAATTACAATATTCTGCTACAAAAAAGTGAGATCCATGCCTTGTTTCTCATATATAGAAATCCATATATTTGCAGACCAAAATGCTTAAGTTTCCTGAAAGATCAATAAAATAGAATGATATGTAAATTTTTAAATATATATTTTTTGATATTAACAAGGCCACATAAGTTTCTTGAGCATTGAAAACAGGTATATAAAAAATTGCCTGATTTTATTCAAATTGATAAATGCACCTCTATTTAACAACTTAATAATAATTTTTTATATTTCTGATCATTTTATTGGATTCTTCACCCCTGAAAATAGCCACAGAAATTTTTAAATAAAAAAAAACAAGTATTTTTAAAGTTATGTGATTGAAACCTAAAAATAAATGTTACAATTCTGAGGGGGAAAGAGGGGACTGGTCAATATTTGCTAAAAATAAAATGGTCATATTTTAGGATCTTCTTAAAACCAGAGGCTAAAAATTTTAATGAATTTTTATTTTACTAAGTATTCTCTGTATAAAACTGTATAAAAATCAGCAAAATCTGATATGTATGGTGACATTGCCTGGGTCAATTGACATGGAATTACCATTTTGTAATTTAGATATTAGTTTTTGGTTTAAGACTTTATATTTTTATTATAAGTCTTATAAATATTGATGTTTAAATAGTATTTTGTTTATTATTTACTTTTTTTTTATCAATTCATGGCAGCATTATCATTGGTAAACACATAAAAATATTTCCTGCATACATATGTATAACCAATTAACTTATAGGTTTTTTAAATTCATTTTCATAGCAGCAAAAAAAATGTGTAAAAGCGCAAGTATTATTAAGTAGTTGTTTAAAAGCGCAAGTATTATTAAGTAGTTGTTTAAAAGCGCAAGTATTATTAAGTAGTTGTTTAAAAGCGCAAATATTATTATGTAGTTGTTTAAAAGCGCAAGTATTATTAAGTAGTTGTTTAAAAGCACAAGTATTATTAAATAGTTGTTTAAATTTAAAACTATTTAAAGAAAAAAGCAAAAATTGCAGTATGATTTTTTTAGCTTAAAAAAAGTTTGGTAAAGAAAAGAACAAAAATGTAAATAAAAGCAAAAGGTGTTACATGTACTAGTGTAAAGTGAATATTAAACTGATTATTGTTGTTAAAAGTATAGAAGTGAAAATAGTTTAATCCTTATTACTAATTTAGTTTTTGTTGTTTAGGTTTTTTGTAGAATCAGGCCATGTTTTGATGGTGAAACATGTGTAGAAATCATTGGAGACAATGTTGTTCAATTAAATGCCCCAAAAGTAAGTTTTTTATTTTATTTGATTGAATCTTTTGTTTTTGTTCTAAAAGTTAATTTTAACTAAGCATAGGCATCATGTTTACTAAATAATTAATTAATTAGTAAACATGATGCTTATGCTAATTATTCATTGTGCTTGAGTTTTTTATATAATAGCTATAGTTTATGTTTATTCAGCTGTTTATTTTCTTATAAAAGTTTTTAGTTAAAGTACCTTGCTTTTTACCTGCCTTATATAGTGATAAGACAACATGGTATAGTATATATTAAATAAGTAAAAAAAATCAGAAAATCTGAATTTAAGAAATCCCTGCTCAATTCTTTGTATTTAATTAAACCGATTAAAGCAAAATCTTTGAAAATATTAAAAAACTAAAACAACAACAAAATGTGCAAGTTTTAATGAGATCAAAGTGATGACATGTTTCTGTATTAAATACCAAAACTTTAAAAAAAATTTTTTTTTCGGATAAGCATAAGCAAATCACATTATTTTTCTAAAATACATTTAAAAAATGTAATAATATTGCAGTCAAATAGAGCTAACATTTGTTTAATTTGTAAATAAATAATAGTTTATAAAATTTTATATGCATAAGTTTGTTACTGTCATATAGTGGTACAAGCAGAATTTTATTCAGATATTAAATTATTATACATTATATACAGGCAAGTTTAATTTCGAACAGTTCTTTGATTTTTTAATTATTTAGAAGAAAATATATGTAGTTTTATAATTTAAATTAGTTATATCACATAAATTTATTTTTAGAATTTGAAGACTTTAACAGGTCGTGTTGAACAGGTATATTATTTGTTTGATATTTTAATTGTAAAGCCAGCTTGTTAAATTTTATAGCAGTATTATGAGCTTGTACTAGCTAGCTATTAATAGCTTGTACTTAAAATATATCATGTCCTTAAAGCAAGACTTTTTGTCCTCTGAAAGATTAAATTAATTGCAGTTTTAATGAATAAATTATTAAGTTTCATTGAAACTTTGATCTGTTTTAATTGCGTACATCGCTTTTACAGTTACAAAAGGGTTTTTTGATTAGTTGCGAAGAAATATATTTGAATATATATGTATTTAAATAATTTAGTATTTTAAAATACTTAAAAAAATTTTAAACTTTTTTACAATAATCATATTATTGTTCATCATATTTTATATTATAATTTTTATTATTAGATAAATTTAATAGTTTAAAAACTTATTTAGTTCAGTAGCTTTTAAATGAAAATTAAATGAAAGTTTTCAAAATCTTGATAACTTTTAATTGAAAAACTTGGTTGGCTCGACGATTTCTGTCAAATATAATGTCAAAGAACTTTTGTTGCAATATGCTACTTTAATTTAAATAAGTAAGACATTTAGGGAGCAGAGCAAGATTTTTTCACAGCGCGATGAAAGAATCTCGCTCTGGGAGCAACTAAGTTTAATCAGCATATTTAAATATCTAGTAAATTAGGTATTTAAAAAAAAAAGTGTATTTGAATACAAAATTTTTATTATTATTATTTCAAATTATAAATATACATCAAATATCTACGTAAATTTTGTATTTGTAAATTTCAAAAAAAGTTTTGTATTTATAATTATTGGTTAATAATTATTAATACTATTATAATATTATTATTTATTTATAATTAAATTTTATAATTAAATAATATTATTTAATTATCTTCTTTTATGTTTTACGCAAATATAACATACATAATATGTTTCATTATAAGTTTTATTTTTGATTATTTTTGTTGTTTTTGGTTTACTTATTTTGTTATTTATACTTTATTTTGTTATTTTAGGTTTACTTAACCAGCTAATTTATTTTCCCAAAAGTATCAATTCATCTTTTATTATTAAAACATATTTCAAAGTATAATATTTATTAATATGCAAATTTCTTTGAAACTTTACTAACTTAAGATAAATCGCAAAAACGTAAATAAAGAATTTTCGAATGATAAAAATAAATTAATAAAATAATTTATTAAAAGATATTGAAAAATCTAAACACGAGAATAAATTTAACTTAATTAAAATTAACTTAACTCAATAAAAATTAAAAAAAAAGTTTTTTTTTTTACTTTTAAATGAATGATCTTGTTAATGTTAACAATGCTTGCTATTGATGATCAGGCTAGTTAACACCCTGGTTGTGGCTCTTGTCACCTATTTAAAAAAAACATTAATAAAAACAAGATGGCTTTTAAATATGCTTAACAGCAAGGTAACCAGGCGTGTCTATTATCTCTGCAATATGAAGATGGACAACCAGCGCGATTTATTCGACAGATAATAAATAAATAAAATAACTTTAGACCAACACTCAGCATACTTGTTTGCTGCTCTGCTGTTGAAGACCATGGAAGAATTAACATCACCAGAAGTTCCAGAGGACATTTCATTCAAAGAATTGATGGTATAATGGGAAACCCTGGAAACAAGAAAATCATTGTTAATCTCACAGTATGAATTTGGTAAATGGCTACAAAGACTGCATAAACTATATTAGATGTGGCATATTTATCTATTAATAATGAAGTAAATAAAATCGCAAGTCATATACAAAAAAAACTAAAAACTGTTACAACTGTGAATCAATGAATCATATTGCATGTGAATGTGCTTCTTTATGTTAGAAATCCTTGCATAAACATGTTGTGAAAGACTGCTACCAATGTCAACAAGACCAGGAAGTTTTAAATGGGCCATGTTCGCAAGATGTTTTAAGGCTATTCTATTGAGCAGTCTCTGGTCAATCTATAACATAAGATGATAAATAACCTTTATCAAAATAGATAAATAAAGGAAAAACTTTTTCTTGTTATGATTTGCTAACACCTAATTAATTTTTTGATTTGCTAAGCAGCACTTTTTCTGATTCTCAAACTATTGGTTTGGGCATCTTTTAAGACTTAATTTTCTTAATTTTCAGGTAAAAATAAAGTTTCTAGTCATCTTTTTATTACCTGTAAAAAAAACTATTTAAAACTTACAAAGATAATATGCCTATAGCATTAAAAGAGACTTAGGATAGGCTGTCTAGAGTCTACCCTAATAAGGTGTATTAAACAAATTAAAAGAATATTTGCAAGCACATTTTTAGGTTATAAATAAAAACAACTTTATTATCAACTTTTATTCTTTATTTTAAAGAAAAAAATACATTTTCTGACAGAAATCATAACCAGGATCTGAATGATTCAAAATCTGTTTTTTCACAGGAAACTGTCAACTAAATGTTTCTATTGTTAAATGTTTATATGTACATATCAAACAAAATCAACATTTTTCTGGTGTCAACCTTTGACATTAGAAAGGTATCTAAGTGTTTATTCTTTCCCATGTCTGAAGTCTACCTAATCTCCCCTATACTTTTATTTTTAAAGAATATAATATTTTTTTTATTCAGATAAATTCTGGGTAGGAAAATCAAATTCATGGCTGCAGGACAAGTTATGCTGGCCCTATATTATTTTAAAGTTGTATTACATCTCAATCCTTTACGATTAGTGACATTCACTTATTTTTTATTAAATATTAAGTAAACTTAATAATACAGTAAATGTTTGTTTTTTTATTGACATATTACTATTTATCTTATTTAATTGATTTTTATTGTAAAATAGGTTTATCTATGTTGGTTACTTTGTCACACAAAAAAAGCAAAGTTTCAATTTACAATAGTTTACATATTTAAAAGTGGAATGGTTTACAAAAGTGTAACCAAAAGCGATGACGAATTTTTTCTCGATATAGTTTACAATATTGCGCCAATATTGTAAACAATATTGTCCCAATATTGCGCCAATATTGCTTGCTACTAGGGGAGTAATTCAGCTGTTGCTTCATCCAAAACAACATTAGTTAAATTAAGTATAGCTGGCTTAACAACTTGATTAGGAGGATCTATTCTAGGAGTACTCTTTATATTCGATTTAGTTTGTAATTTATCTTTTTTTTTTTTTTTTTTTCATTTCCGTTTAATTGATATTACAAACTCAATGCATGGAGCTAAAGAATTTCAAATACTTGGAAAAGAAGCAATAACTAATATTCAACCTTAACCAAATTCAAATATCAATCTAAATATTATCACTGGCGTGAAAAAAAGATGATGAATTTTTTAATTGTATATATATATATATATATATATATATATATATATATATATATATATATATATATATATATATATATATATATATATATATATGTGTATAAATATATACAGTCGACTCTCGATATCTCGAACACTAAGGGGACTGGGAAAAAAGTTCGAGATATTCAAGAGTTCAAGATTTCAAGAAAAGGGTTGAAAATAAATAAAATTGCCCGACTTTCATTAAAACAAGGTATTTTTCTGACAAAAATCATTAACAACAAAAACTACAACTTTTGGAAAAAATCAGCTATCTGATATTGCTTTAAATTATCCATCTTTTCCATTTTCATTAAATCCGCAAGTTTTAGTGCTAGGGATTGTATTTCATTTCCGTATTTTGAGCTGTATAGCGAAGCATTTTGAGTTGTTTCAAAAGCAATTTCTAATTGAATTTCAGATCGGCGTGACGGGGCTTCGATGTCAATAGCTTCGTCAACGCTATCTTCAACTTCATTATCGTCGTTTTCAAAATTAGGGTCTAAAATCTGAGTAATGATTTCAGCATCAGTAGCAAGTGAACCAGTGGTTACTACATCACAATCTAAACTAATGTAAGATTCGGCTGAGAGATCTTCTTAGGCGGCATGAGGATCTAACTCTCGCAAATGGTTAAGTTCTTCTGTCAAAAATTTAAAAGAATGATCATCATCAGCTTCTTCAATACTCTTGTTTGTTTTGCTGATACCAGCTTTTCTAAAGCAGTTGATGACAGTCTCCTTTGACACAGCATTCCACGAAGAAACAAGGTTTTTCATTGCTTGAAGTATAGAAATTTTTGGCATGGGTTCGTTATTATCGACAGCCTTGATACAAAAACGCACAATTTTGTGATGATAATGAGCTTTAAGACTTCGTATTATGCCTTGATCCAAGGACTGAAGGACAGATGTGGTGTTAGGGGGGAAAAATATTAGGTTGATGTTGCTTAGCCCTTCAATGTGTGGGTGGGCAGAACAGTTATCCACCAGGAGTGCTACTTTCCTGTCTTGAGCACGAAAAAATGAGTCAAGTTTCATTACCCATTCTGTAAAAAGGTCTCGGGTCATCCAACTTTTTAGCTGATTTTTATATGTGCAAGGAAGTTGTTTAATGTGCTTAAAACACCGTGGGTTTTTAGATTTTCCAATAACAAACATAGGTAATTTTTCTCCCGTTGCACTCCCTGCTGCTATGCCTGTTAGTCTGACTTTACTATTTTTTCCCCCAAAACATTTTTCTCGTGATAAATGGTATGTTTTGTTTGGTAGGCACTGGTAAAATAGTCCAAACTCATCGGCATTAAAAATGTTTTCAAGTTTGTAATTTATAAGCAATGTTGGAAGTGTAGTTTCATTCCACGAAGCAGTCATATTATTCGTCATGGCGGCACTTTTGCCTGAGATTATTTTAAAGCTGATGTAGTCCTAAAAATAGGAACAGCATAATTGAATTTTAATTACACGTTTAAAAAACTAAATAAATTAAATATAAACAGATACATGTTATTTGTTTATATCAAAATTGAACAAGATTTGACAAAATTTAACTGACCTTTCTTTCTAATTATGAAACCAATAATCAGATGCTTTAAAATCCGACTCTCCTAATGCTTCTGCGAATTTTAGTGCTTTTTCTTTTAGTATGGTACCATCAATTGGTACTTGTTGACTTCTTTTTGCAATGAACCACGTGTATATGGCCTTGTCTACATTTTTGAAATTACCACTACGAAGTTTCTTCCGTTTAGATTTTGTGCCATTTTTTTTCCAGTGAGGTTAATAACTTGGTTTTATTTTTAATCCAGGTTGATAATGTGTTCTTTGGGACTCCATACTTTTTGGCAACCTCTTTGTTAGACATCCCTGTCTCTAGGTCTTTTAATGCCTTGCATTTTTCTATTATAGATTTGTTTGTGAGTTTTCGTTTAATGAGCAGCATGTTGTTGCGTTTGACAAAAATAAAAAATTATATATACATATATTATATTATATGTATATATAATATAATATATATATATATATATATATATATATATATATATATATATATATATATATATATATATATATATATATATATATATAACTATTATATATAATTATATATATATATATATATATACATATATTTATATATATATTTATATATATATATATATATATATATATATATATATATATATATTTATATATATCAACCCTTGGAATTAGGGTCGGCATTCAGCAATGCCGACCTTACTGCTGACCTAAAATTGCTTGAGGTTGGAAAAAATTGCCGACCTTGTTTCTATGTTTTATGGTCAGACCTTTGTATCAAATAATTATTGCCAACTTCATTTTTCCTAATTCCGAGAATTGATATATATATATATATATATATATATATATATATATATATATATATATATATATATATATATATACATATACATATACATATACATATACATATACATATACATATACATATATATATATATATATATATATATATATATATATATATATATATATATATATTTTATATATATATATATATATATATATATATATATATATATATATATACATACATATACATATATATATATGTATATATATATATATATATATATATATATATATATATATATATATATATATATATATATATATATTGTTTTAATTTCATATCTTGTTGTACATGTATATATTGGTTACTTGGTCACAAAAAAAGTTTTTATGCTTTTCGAGTTTTAATAAACCCACAAGCAAAAGTGTATGCATTATCAATGCACATTTCATTTTTATAATCACATTATTACTTAAGTTTGTATATGTTAGTTAAAGTTATATAATTGTGTTTATAACTTTTTTTTTTGTTTATAATGTTTTTTGTGTTTATAACATATTTTTTTTCATTAAAGGGATCCTTAAGTGCTATAAAGATATGATCTCATGAAAGAGCATAAAAAAAAAAGTGTTTGATGTATATTATTTTTTCTAAAACATAATAATGAACACACACTAACAAATTTAATTTTCAAAAAAAGGCTTTTCTTCGATTAAAAAAAATGCGTCTTGTCCAAAGTTTATTGACTCTATTGCCTCAAAAAACTAACATTTGTACGTCAAATTAAACAAAGTAGACAAAATGTCATTATTGCAAACGTATTAGTTGGTAATTAAATTTAAAAGTAAAGTCGTTTTTTTTTAACTAACACATAATTACTTACAAGAATAAGTTTTGTAACATTTTGTGAAAATATATTTGTATTTTAAATTTTTTTTTATAATTTTAATTTATATACTTGTGTTGTAAGGGCAATTCCACGACCAAAAATGAATAGAAGTCAAATTTTAAACTCTTTTTAGTCAGTATTTAACAAATGAATATTGATGTAGACACATGAAAGTTTATTTAAAATATTTCCTTAGTACAAAAATAAATTTATTTCAGTCAATTTAAATTATAATATTATGAATTTATTTTATAAAATCATAAATTTATTTTATGGTTTCGAAAGTGACGGTTATTCTCATTTTCGCTTGATAAAAAAAATTGTTATTGTAAAATGTTTTAGTTTATTGTAAAATGTTTTAGCTATATTTTTTTGGTTCAAATTGATAACGTTAAATAGACATTTTATTAGAAATTAAATTAAGACAGGGCTCGAATTAACGCAAAAAAATCTAATAGCGAAAAAATTATATTTTTTGCTCGATTAAGTAATTGTTTTTGCTTAACATGATACTTAAAAAAGTAATTGTAAAAAAATTAGAGTAAAAAGAAAACATTACTATATTTCAGTGATGGATCCAGGGGGAGGATGGGGGTATGCATTCCCCCCCCCCACCTCACCAGAATCTGAAAGTCTTGACAATATCATAGAAATTGAGGACCTTGTTTTTTGCTTTTTTTTTAGGAGACGCAAACATGGTACAAAATTCAAAAATATTTCAACATCCTCCACCAAAAATTCCTGTATCCGTCACTGCAATATTTAAACCATTTTAATTAGTCATAGAAAACTGTTTAATACGATCACGCTGACAATAAAACACATGTTTTTAATGAGTATTTAATTGTTATTGTAAAAAGCTGTAAAACAACAATAAAACAAAAAGTTGTCTTTAAAATATAAATAGCTTGTGTTAAAGTAAAACAACTTCGTGACGCTGTTTTGTTGCTGTTATATACAGTTTAATAACATAAAATGCGTGTAAAATAAAACGAAGCAAATAAATGAAATTGTTTTAACTAATAAATTAAAAAATTATTGTCAATAAATCAAAAAACATTGTCAAAAACTTTACAAAAAAATGTTTTTTATAATTTATTGTTTCTTGAATAAAGGACTAATAAAAGTTTAAATATAGTTAAGTTTTCCATTTAAATGGTTTTTAAGTTGATGTTTTTATTCAATTTCTCTATTTCAATTGTTTTCCAATAAAAAGTGAAACAAAAAAGTTTTGTTTAATAAATTGAATTATACTTCATGTTTAAAATAAGGCTTAAAAACGTTAAAGTAAAAAAACTGCTGGTTTTTCTTAGCATTTTAATACTGTTTGAAAAAAAAACTAATAAAAAAGAATTAACTAATGATATATTAATTAATAATTATTATAGTTAATAATAATAATAATTAATTCTTTTTTATTAGTTTTTTTTTCAAACAGTATAAAAATGCAAATAAAAGTCAGCAATTTTTTTGCTCTAATGTTTTTAAGCCTTATTTTAAACATTTTGATAGACAAAAATAAAAACCAGGCTGATTTGTTAGAATGAAGAAAAAACTTGAATAAACGTCTTTTCCTTTTTCAACTTTTCGCTTTAACGACCTTTCAAAAATTTTCCACGCACAGATTTAAAGTAATTTAAATTCAAAAAAGTTTTAGGTTGAAAGAAAATATCCGCGTGAAAGAGCAAATCATCTGTCTATTCAGAATAATAAATTTTGTGTGACGTTCTTTATGATAGAAACATTACTTTCAAGAATTGCTAAAAAAATGCTAAGCTAAAAAAAAAATAATTAAACAACCAAAAAAAAACAAATCGCAAAAAGATTTTTTTTTAAGAAAAAACTAATCGCAGAAGTGTGGAAAGCAATCGCGATTGCAATACGCTTAATATGAACCCTGTAAAACTTTTTTATAAGTTCTAAACTATTTATTAAAACTATCACTTAATAACTTTTTTTTAACGACGTCTTTCGACCGAATTCTATTATACTGTTTTTGCAAAACTAATTAAAAAAACTTGATTAAAACTTAACTATTTAACCACGACTTTTTTTTACTTGAAAATCCAAGTAGATATTCTAAAGTTGTTGTGACGTACTAACAAGATTTTTAACGACTAACAATCAAGTTTCAATGGTAAAAAAATCAAAATGGAGTTGTTTTTCAGTGATTTCGGCAATTGCTTTTTGTTAGCATGCATTTATTATTACAATTTAGTGAAAAAGAAAAAAAACTTACATATTTTTTTGATGCTCTTTCATATGAGATCATATGTTAGGAGCACTTAGGGATCCCTTTAATGACTTTTACTTTTTTTTATTTTTATTACCTTATTTTGATTTTTATCTTAATTTATTTGTTATGTCTTATCTTATGTTCAACTATAGTCATTCATTAGGCAAGCTATGAACATAGCTATGTAGCTATGTCATATATATGAATGTGTGTATACACAAATATATATACACTTACATATTTTTTTATATTTAGCTCAGATGTACCTTTAGTCAAGTCTTCCCTGGTTATACTACCCAAAGCCATTTATTCCAAAGTGTTGGCTTACCATTGGTTCAAGATCTTCTTAATGGCAAAAATGGTACTTTAATCTTTATGAAAAATATTTATGTGGTTTTATGTTAACATCCTGATAATAGTAGCATAATAATGGCAAACTTTCATTATAACTGTTGACTCTAATTTTAAAGAAAGTTCAGCTAAATTAAAATATCTTTTGAAAAAATGTATTGTCTATCCTTTAAAAACTATTCAACAAGTGCTTATCAGTCTTGTTTTCCAGCTTGCTGGAAAGCGACATCTGTTGTCCTTATTTTCAAAAATTCTGGAGAGCAATCTGATTTGTCTAACTACCATCCCATTAGTTATCTTCCTATCATAAGCAAGGTTTTTGAATCTTTAATAACAAACACTTAATCTCTTATCTTGAATCTAATAACTTACTTCTGATCATCAAAAAATAATAATAATAAAGGTTTAATAGCTGCAATAAAAGCTAAGCATTTAATAAAAATAAATACATTCAGAATGTTTTCAAAAAGATTGTAGTCTTATAGTTTGCGTTTTTGTACTTTTTTAATCTTAATTTATTTCCGCAATTAAATTAATGCGTTTTGTTATAATATAACCTTAATTTTATCAGTTTAAATACCACAAACAATCGAAGAGTTTTTTTTTTACCACAAACTGTACATCTAAGCCCTTTATTATAAGTGTGTGTGGGTTTATATATAAATATATACTTATATCTGTCCAAACTTCAGTACTTAATAGCTTATATAATTCTTATATTAGTTCTTTGTTTTATAGAATAAATATTTTAATATATCTAAGCATTTTCAAAAAATATACAGGACCTTTTTTTTGAATGAAAAATCTTTCACCGTTGTCTCTAAATAATTTATGGTTATTTCACTGATTGCTATGATTTTTTTAATTTATTTTTATTATTATAGTAGAATTTATAAAATGTTTAATAACTTTAGGTTTATGTTTTATGTATGGGATTTCTGGATCAGGAAAAACTCATACTATGAATGGAACACCTTCTGATGGAGGAGTTCTCCCACGTTGTTTAGATGTTTTATTCAACAGTATTGGAGATTATCAAGCTTCACGATGTGTAAGATTTTTTTTGTTGATCTTTTGTTGATTTTTATTTAATTGTTTTATTATGGTTACAACCTTCTCATAACTCTATAACTCAATAATACTAACCTTGACAAATGAGTTGATTGCCATTCTACCAGGGGTGTGGTGGGGATTGAATTTCTTGCTTACAAAATGCTCTACCACTACACTACTACCACATTAATATTAATTAATATTAATGTGGTACTATTTTTTTTTTTAATTTTGTTTTAGATTTATCTCATTTAATAAATGAAGTCATGTAACTTACTTTCTAAAAATATTTTAGAAAACCTATTATCTGTAAAAATGTTTTCTTTAAAAAGGTTTTCAGACCTGATTGTTACAATGGATTTGAAGTTCTTTCTGATAGTGAAGCCTCTTCAGAAGCAAAAAGAAAATCTTTGGAGCAGGCTGCTTTTTTATCTCAGAAATCAAGGTTTTTTGTTGTTTTTTTCTCAGAAATCAATTTTTATCTCAGAAATCAAAAATTTTTGTTATTTGAAATATTTTCTCTTAGTATTTTTTATCAGGGCACAAATCAAGGAGTTAAATTAAGTGATTAGGGGTTTTTTAGAAAACTAGTCACAAATTTAACAAGTAAGAAATCAAAAAAGTTTTTAAGCTATGAAAGTGGCCTTTTCAATGTGATCAACATTAAAGTCACTAATGACAGCGATATTGGCTCAAGAATAAAAAGGACTTTTTCATTTTGTACAATATATTAAAAAGGATGCAGTCTTAGGAAGGAGGAGAGTAATTAATAACAAGCAGAACAATAAATAACAAGAAGAAAGATGTCCTGAGTGATGATGAGTGAAGAAGTCCTAAGCAAAAGCACATAATGAAATAGAGAATAAATTTGCTACTAATTGGTGAATTGATATAGATATACTTTAGTAATTACTTGTCTAAGCATAGTATGTGACAATTATTGGAATCTTTGGAAGTCAAAATATAATAACTGTCAACTTTATTTATGAAACAACCGAATTTAAATTATTCTCACAAATAGCAAGTATGTGTTAGTAATTTTGTAAAATTTAAAATTCAACAAACCAAAATATTTTCAATTGATAGACCTAAAAAATTGGGTTGTAGTGATGGTTTTTATGAAAATGATAGTTTTAGGTATTTTACTCATATTTTTAATAATTAGAGACTTTGACTTAATCATAGTGCATGACACCTTAAGCAATAAGCTAGTTGTCTCATTCCTGCTAATCAACCCAAAGTTATAACAGACTTATGTGGCTTTAACAACGCACTCCAAAAGCACTTTAAGGGACACCTTTTATGCTCAGCATGTCACTGTTGATACTATGATATTTTACAGCTGTTGATGGTATCACCATCTCTGAGAGTTACCACAGTGTTTGGGAGTCTTTCCTACCAGCTGGCCTCAGAACTTTTAGATCTTCAGAAGTAGAGAACTATAGAGGTATTTTATTTCAGAGTTAGAACTATAGAGATATTTTATTTCAGAGTTAACTTACACTAGACTTGGTCTCAATAAACAAGTTCTAAAAGGCATTAGGACACTAGTCAGGTTACACCATATTCACATTAACTGTAGCAAAGTGATCTTTATGATTCTTATTCTGACCTGACCTTTAAAACATACACTAGAATATATAACTAAAACAAAATACTGGAACAAATTGCTAACACAACTTTTAACAGCAAAATACTACAAAGTATTACTGGAACAAAGTACTGGAGCAAATTATTTGAACTCATTGTCTCATTTGTTGCAAGAGACCATAAGCATTTGTTTAAACTCCAACTCCTCGCATAAGAAATTTACTCTTATGTTCTTAATACAAAGGTCAGGGGGGGATTTTGGTCCAGGTCTAATAAATGGGGTGGGTGGGTGTTTTATAAAAGGTGGAGATGGAATTTTTTTTCTTCTAAACTATATTTATATTGTTCAGTTTGAAAACTTTTGATGTGACGCCATGTTACAATAAAAGTTTTTTTTAATGAAAAATTTCAAATAATAAATCCAAACTGATATTTTTTACAAAATATACATAAAATTATTTAATTCTAGCGTGGCTTGCAGTCAAATGCGCATTTTCAAATTGCTGTTTCATTATAATTTCTATAGGATTTAATATGCTGATATAAGTTTTATACTTTGGTTATAAATAAACCAAAAACTCATTTTTGACAAATTGAGATTTACTAGGTGGATTATTTTTAAAACCTGTTTGCACTTTATATATATATATATATATATATATATATATATATATATATATACACATATATATATATATATATATATATATATATATATATATATATATATATATATATATATACACACACACACACACACACACACACACACGTATTAAATAATTTATTAATAAATAAAAATATAAATTATTGATTAATAATAAGCCTGTTTACACTGAAAGTTTTTGTTTTTATCAGTGACTAAAATACTTATTTTCTAATTTTAAGGCTGTTTTACACTGATTTTTTTGTTTTTTTTTTGGTTTTGTTTTTGTTTTACTTTTTTAGTTATAAACTTTCTTGTTGTTAACAAGTCAAAATTAATAAGGAAGGGGGAGGGATTTTCTAAAAATTAATAAACTCCCCTTCCCCCTCTCCCACTCCTTTTTTTTAAGGACAGAATGTATAATGATGTTTTAAAAAAAAAGCTGCATGGTTTATTGCATGTTGCTGGATCATTTTTTATATGCTATGTTTGTTGTTTTAAATCAATAAATTAGACTCCACATTAAAGAGTCTTTTTTTTTTTTTTTTTTTTTTGAAAAAAAAAAATATCTATATTTTATTTATGTAAAATATGTTTCTCTAGGATTGTTCTTCATAAGCAATTGTTAATGCTTGCTTTTCGTGTGTGTGTGTGTGTTTCTGTTGCTTCTCTTCCTTGAAAGAGCCTTTCTTTTCAGGTGACATTATCAAATTCCATTTCCTTGCTCTTTACTTTACTACAACCATTGTTTTTCATCAATCTATGCTGAATTAAATCACTAGATATTTAAACAAAGCATTGCTTTGAGATACTATTTAATTTTAGCTGCATTTTTTTTAAATACAACTGTTTAAAGTTTTTTTAACTTATCCATTGATAAGAAGCCTTTGAAGTGGATAGTGAATATATCTCTCTCGTAGAGGGTGAAGAAGCTGCTGTAGTGGTTAGTAAAATAGTTCACCATTCATTGAAGAATCTACAAATATTCTGTTAGTCCATTACATAAGTTAGATTTAGTTTCATAACTAGATTTAGTTTCATCAATACATATATTCTTTAAAAACTATTTACTATAAAAGAAATTTTTTCACTACCTGTTAGCACTTAGAAATACATTCACTATCCGTTAGCACTTAGCTAACAATATCAGAGTAATAATATCAAACAAAAAATATTATTTATAAAATAAATACTTTGTTTATACAAAATTGTAAACAGTTACATAAATAAAATATTTTATGGTTAAAATGTAATAATTGTTAACTATGGCCTACTATCTGGTTCTTTTTAATTATGGAGAGTAATGCTAAAGTTACCACAAGTAGTTTGCGTAAACGTAAAATAACTTAAGAAAATTTTTTCTCATCAATAGCCTTTGTTAAACTGATTCTAACAAGAGAAAAAAAAATTGATGTAGGTCTAACCAGCTCCTTAAACATTAAAGAGTACTTTAGCACTGCACTATTAATGTGAAAAATGGAGAAAACCATAGCGATATTGTCCTCTATATTTATGTTTTAATTATTTATCTTAAAATTTATTAATCAAAATTTAATAGTTTTTTTGTTTTTGAATATTAAACTATATGAATCTATTAAATAATATTATTATTGTAATTATTTTTTTTTTTTTTAGAAAGCAAACTGAAGAAGATAGAATGGCTGACATGATAAGAATACCTGACTTAACTAAGTTGGAGGTAGAAAAATTTTGTAATTTAATATATACTACAGATGTAATGGAAATGTAAGGTGTAACAGTCCAAAAGGTGTTTTTTTAAAAGTTACGTTCTAAATGTATTTTTAATGTCTTTTAAACGTCTTCTAAACATTCTTATGTAAAGAACGTTTAAAAGACATTTAAAAAATGTTTAAAAGACATTTAGAACGTAACTTTCAAAAAAAGAAAAATGCCCAAAGGGAGAGGACATAATAGAAATGTATTTTGGCTGTAATGGAAAACTTAAAAATACATATAGATATAAAATCTACTTGGATAGATAAAATTTTAGATAATTAAAAAAAAAAGATTTTGAATTCAAAAAAAAAAAAAAGAGAGAAAATTGAAAAAATTATATTATTCTAGCTAATAAAAAAAGGTTTAACAATAAATAAATAAAAAATTAAAGTGGTAATAAATGAGTTGTAAACAAAATTATTTTAGTTTTATAAATGTTTGAATGTTATAAAAATTTGTTATATGTATTTTCAAATTATATTCTGGTATTTTGCAAAACCTTATTTTTCAAAACCTTAATTTTTTCTAACCGATTAACCTTGACTAGGGAAAATTTTGGAAGATTGAAACAGCAGTTTTAGTCATTCCGAAATGTTCTTGACTGTTCGTCATTTTTTATGCTGTTTGTTTACATATGGTGGATCCAATACTAAAACTGGATAAATTTGAAATTTGGTGGTTCTGTGTTTTTTATGTCAAACACATACATTTATGTCAAGGAGTACAAAATGCAATAAGTGATTATCTCAAATATGCTACCATTATTTAATTTAAATAAGATAATTAGCAAATTAAAAGATATATTTATAACTTTAAATAAGGCAATTAGCAAAAGTAAACTTGTTGAAAAAAAGGTTAAAACCAAAAACTGACATTATCTTCTTTTATTATTCTTTGTTTTTTTCCTCTTTTTCTAAAAAATTTAAGCACATATTTTTACATTAAAAGCGCAAAAATGATATTAGGAAATTGCACCCTTACAAATGGATTGAGTATAGTATGTCTCTCTCTCTCTCTCTTTCTATATATATATATATATATATATATATATATATATATATATATATATATATATATATATATATATATATATATATATATATATATATATATATATATATATATATATATATATATATATATATATATATATATATATATATATATATATATATATATATGTGTGTGTGTGTGTGTATGTGTGTGTATATAAATACACACACATGTAAATATACAACTAAAAAAATGAATAATGATAAATAGAAATAACAGTTAATTTTTTTGCAATTATAATTTAGTGTTAAAGCATGATATGCAAACAATTTCTTTATTAGGTTGATCAAGATAATGTTTACAGTGTATTTATTTCTTTTGTTGAAATTTACAACAATTCTGTCTTTGATCTACTTGAAGATTCAGCAAATGATGTTTTCAAACAAAAGTATGTTGGATAATAGTTATAAATAATAAATTAAATCCCTAACTTTTCTTGTTAATATAAATAATAATCAATAAGAAATTGATAGGTACTATCAATTTAATAAGTTAAGAAAAAAAATTGTTTTCAATGAAAAAGCTTTTTTTGCTTGAAAATAATAAAATATTTGTTTAATTATTGAATATATTTTTGTATCTATAATGAAAATTTTATATATAATAATTTTAGGCAACCAGTGTCAAAGATACTACGAGAGGATCAACGAAAGAATATGTATGTTTATGAAGCTGTTGAAATTGAAGTAAAAAGCACTGAAGAAGCATTTGATCTTTTTTATAGAGGTTTGCAATAAATAAAATCTTTAAAAAAAAAATTCTTTCTTTTGTAAACATATTTTTAAGTCCGCACAAGTTTAATGTGTGTAGTGTTGTTGTTAATGCTCAAATTAAATGATTATAGACAAAGATGTCTGGAAATACTTCTGGTCTTCAAGTTCACTGTTTATTAGAAACTGTGAACACCGTTTTCATGGAAGTATATAATTAAATTAATTTTATAAGATTGCAAAAACTTATGAAAAAATAATGCAATAAATTTACTACAGTTAAGGCAAAATCAATCAAAACTTGCATTTTTTAATTTATTGCTTATTTAAATCAAATTAAAGTATTATAAATGAATGAAAAAGTTAAAATAATAGTTATGTTTAAATCAAATTAAAATTGACCATTAAAAGATAATTCTAAAGTTTAAGCTATTTGGGCATTATACAAACATTAAAAACAATTTTTGTGAGCATTTATAAATGTTTAATGCCATGAAAAAAAAATTTCCACAACTTTACAATGAAATGTGAATGATGATTTATCAACTAAATAAAATAAATCAACTTAGCCTAGTTAAATTGGCAATTGTTTTGTTATGGTAAACTTTAAAGAAATGGCTTTTTAAAGATTTAAATATTTTCAAATAAACATTGATATAATTATTAAATTTCAAAATAATTAAAAATAATTAAACAATTTTGATAAAAGTAATAAAAATAATTATTTTGAATTACGCTATTATTATTATTATTATTTTTTTTTTTTTTTTTTAACTTTTAGTTCTTTAAATTAGTTTTTATATTTTTTAAACACTTTCCTTTTTTAATATAAATCTTTTTTAACATGGCAATGTAATGTATGGTTTATTTTTCTATTTTTATCTGGTGAGTATTTAAATGAATTTAACTTTGAATCATAGTTTTGAATAATAATAAATTAAATGAGATATTTTGTCATAGTTTCAAGATCATTGCATTAATATTTTCTTAATAAATAATAGTTTTGCTAAACCTTCATTAAAACTGGTTTTTTGATCTCCTGTTGACAGTATTTTTCGTCAATTCTAATTATATTTAGTTTAAATCTTTGGTTAAATTTGTTTCAATTTGAAAGGTGTATGAATAGTTTAATTAGTAACATTAAGAATAAATAGAAACTTGGAATTACATTTACATATAAAAATGCTGTCAACCATGCATAAATTCCAATTATAAAAGCATTAAATCAAAAAGTTGTCTATATTTTTGTGCATCTAAAAAATCTAGTAGGGATTTTTCGCTTAAAAAATTTAATTTTTGATATAAAAACAGAATATGGAAATAATTTTAGTATTTCTCAAGTTAAATCTAATATTAGATATACACCATATTTGGGAAGTTAGTAAGTTTTGGGAAGTCCGTAATTTTATTATAAGTTTGAAAGAATATCAGTTTAGTGAAAAATAAAAGATATTTTTTATTTTAAGGTCAAAACAGAAGAAAAACAGCACACACGTTACTAAATACAGAATCTAGTAGAAGTCATAGTGTATTCAACATTCGACTGGTTCAAGCTCCATTAGGACCTGATGGAACTGCAGTTCTCAATGTATTTTATTTATATATATTTGTTTTTTAAAATATTTTTTAACTAAATATTTGGGCAATAGTGTTATTGCAAATAAATATCATTTTTTAACTTTCTTTTTACCCAGCACAGCCTACCATACTTGTGCAGCATAGAGTAAATTTCATAATAATAATACCTGTAGAATGGCTCTAACATTTTTTCATGCCAGAAGACAATTTTTTTTTTGCATACTGTATATGTGTGTGTGTGTGTTTCAATATATACATATATGTATATATATACATATATGTATATATATACTTATATGTATATGTATATATATATACATATATGTATATACATATGCATATATGTATATACATATACATATATGTATATATATACATATATGTATATATATACATATATTTATATATATATGTTTGTATGAAATTAGAACAGTGAAGCCATTGGTATCAGTCAGTTATCTTTATGTGATTTGGCAGGTTCAGAAAGAATGAGCAGAACTAATGCAGGTGGCGATCGTGTTAGAGAGGCAGGCAAGTAAATTTTTATAAGTGATTTACTTATAGTAAATCATACAAAATTTTCTATCGTTTTTAGTAAAATATTTATCATTTTTACCTGACTTCAAAAATGTTTAGAAGCATCTGATTTTTATTGAAAAAAGTATAGAATTTCAAGTGTCCTGGAATCTATTATTTTTGAACCTTGAATTCTCATATATTATTGTATTTATGAAATCCAAAACTTCCAGTTTAAAAATAATACATTTCAGGACTTATAGTCCTGTGTACTCTAAAAACTTTGGAACTTTCTAATCAATTTTAGACATTGCCCAGATCAAACCAGAAAAACCAGAGTCAATTGAAAAAAAAAATACATCTTTTATGTTTAATTGGCATTTAATATTTTATTTCATAATTTTATATCATTCTCATGTGTATTGATAAACCAAGTGTAAAATAAACCAAGTAAAAAATTTAAAATAAAATGTTCATTGATTTGGAGCTAATTTTAATTTTAGGAAACATAAATAACTCATTGATGACATTGCGATCTTGTATTGAGTGTTTAAGAGAAAACCAGAAATCTCAGGATATTGGAAATCCAGCTAAAGTACATTTTGATTTATTTTTTAATTTTGTGTTGTTATTAGTATTGTTATTTAAAGCTTGACAAAGCATTTTTTGTTATAATGTTGATGTTTTATTTATCAACAATCATCTAATTCAAGATTAGTAATAAAAGATTATTCACTGTTCAACAAATATCGTCTGAACAAAAGTTTGATTTAACATATTTATAATTAACATGATTTTTTATACAATTTTAATTGCAAATTACTTCAATTTATATCTAGTGTTTGATAAAACATAGCGCATGTTTTATTAAATTTTAAAGTAAAGAAATACAATGCTATATAAAAACATAATGCGAAAAGATAAATATTTTTTAACTTAATTATTTAATTATAAAAGTAGTTCTTTTAAGACACAAATTTCATTTAAAAGCATTTTTTATTAACTTGGAGTGATTCTTTTTAAATATTGTGGCTTTTAAAGTTGTTTTTTTTTGTTTTGTTTTTTGTTTTATTTGCTTTTAACTTTTATTTGTAACTCGCAATACTCTGAAGCGTGTTAAACAAGGCTGTTAAAATGAATATTTAATAATAACAAAATTTAATATCGTACTATTGGCATTAACAAATGCACACTTCAAGATATCAGTTAAATATAAAATGTTTTTTTAAATTATAGTTGATTTATATCTTTATAATTGTTGTTATATTATATTTAACTATATAAATACAGCAAATCAGTTTGTCAAGAATATCAACAATGTATTGGAAATGTTATTGTAAAATGTTTGTTTAAGAAATAATTATTTTGAGTTTTGCTTGTTTGAAGTAAAGTTTACAGAGGATTTCTATCCGCTATTAACACATTGTTTGATTTGAAACAACTTAAAATAAGTTGTTTGTTTATTATTCAAATTAAAATGTGAGTAACTTTAATATAATTTGTATTTAAAAATAAGCTTGTTTTTAGTAATAAAAATAGTTTTAAAGTTTTTAAAGTTGCAAATTGAATTGTATATGCTGCAATAATTCAAACATTCAATTTATAGTAATTTTAAGGTATTTGGATTTCTTCTAGTTGGTAAAGAATTTAAAGTGTTTCACAACTTTAATATTTTGAAGAATAACATTGCAGATCTTTTAGTTGATATTTAAAAAAGATCTCTAAAGCTACTGTACAGTCGTCATTTTTCTAATTTGTTGCTGAAAATGTTTTTTTTGCTTAAATTGTTTTTTAGTTCAAATGATAAGGAGAATTTTTATCAAATTGTTCGAGTTCAAATGATTGGAGACTTTTTACTAGAAATATAACTAAGATATTTCTATAGATTTTTCAAATTAAACTATTGAAAACTCTATTATCTAGGTTTTTTTCTTGTAACATTTTTCTTCTTAACTAAACTAATAAAAATTTAACCTAACAACCAACTCAACTTTACTATTTAACCAATAAGAAAAGATCAAAGTTGACTTTGATCTTTTCTTGTATTGTATTATAAATTTATGTAATATAATACAAAAATTTATAATACATACATAAATATAAATATATAAGCTTTTTTAAAAAATAAATTGTTAAATACTGTATTTATTTTCCAAATTTTTAAGTCAATATTTGTATGAGGAAAAGTGGCAAAACTAGTAATTTTTTTTTTTTTTTTTTTTTTTTTTTTTTTTTTATTTGTTGAGTTCTTATTGTTTTATTGTGTTAATGTAGATATATTTTTTTTAGATTGTACCTTACCGTGATTCCAAATTGACTCATTTATTCAAAAACTTTTTTGATGGGGACGGAAAGGTGACATTAAAAATTTTTTTTAACATTTAAAGATATTTTTATGCGTATAAAATAGACATTAAAAGACATTAAAAAGTTTTTAAGTATTTTTAAAATGTTTAGGTACGAATGATAGTTTGTTTAAATCCTCGTTCTGAAGATTTTGATGAAAGTATAGTAAGTTGTTGCTATTTTAAATTTCACAAAAATTAATCAATACAGCTTTTTTAAAATTTTTATATGACACATAATGTTATATTTTTAAAAAATCAATGATGTGAAGGGTGTCCTGGTAAAATTATAAGGTTTTTTGTGATTAAAGAAGAAAAGAAAAGATAGAACCAACAGAACTTAACTAATTAGAATTAGTTTTTATGAGTGCTGCCACTGTTAATTTGTAATAGGATATTGTAGTATTAAGATGAAATACTGTCTTTTAATACTTCTTTAATAAATCTCAGTTTTTTAAATCTTAGACATAGTTATAGTTACATGGTTTCAGTGTATAAAAAACATTGAAAAAAAATATCTACTAAGATATACATCATACATATTTTCTAAACAGTTTACAATCAGTGTGCTGATCTTAAACTGATACTATACTTTTGATTAAAAAAGGTTTTATTTGATACATGACATAAAGCCTGGCAGTCTTTTGGCCCGCAGTGTGTCTGTAGGTTTGCCAAATGAAATTAATTCAGGGTTCCCACTCCTCCTTAAAAACCTTAAATATCCTTAAAAAATAAATATCCTTAAATGTCCTTTAATAACCTTTAAAAATTTGACTGCTCTCCTTAATTTCTCCTTGTTATTTTTTTTTAACTATCTTGGAAATTTTATTAGAGTGAATGGATTATACTTTTTAACAAAGAAGAAAAAATATAGTTCTTTAATAGTTAGCAAACCTTTATTTATATATATATATATATATATAAATAAAGGTTTATATATATATATATATATATATATATATATATATATATATATATATATATATATATATATATATATATATATATATATATATATATATATATATATATATATATATATATATATATATAAAACCCTCAGAATTAAAAAAAATGAGGTCGGCAATAATGCCAACCTCAATCTTTTTGAGGTCGGCAAAAATTATTTGATACAAAGGTCAAACCATAAAACATAGAAACAAGTTCGGCAATTTTTGCCTACCTCAAACACTTTCAGGTTGGCAGTTAGGTCGGCATTGCCGAATGCCGACCCTAATTCTGAGGGTTGATGTGTATATATATATATATATATATATATATATATATATATATATATACATACATATATATATATATATATATATATATATACACATATATATATATGTATATATATACATATATATATACACATATATATACACATATATATACATATATTTATATTTATATTTATATCTATATTTTTATATAGATATTTATATATATATATATATATATATATATATATATATATATATATATATATATATATATATATATATATATATATATATATATATATATATATATATAAAGAGCGAGAGAGAGAGAGAGATATAAAGCAATATATTAATTTATAATAATTTCTCTTTTTATATTTAAATTTATTGAAAAAAATAAGATTCTGTTTTTAATGTAGTCATTTTCTCCTTAATTCTCCTTACTATTTCTTTCAAAAAATTGTTGTTCGTGACCAAATGTCCTTAAATATTAGGAAAATTAAATATTATTAAATTTCCTTAAATATTAGGAAAATTATTATTAAAACTCCTTAAAATCCTTATTTTTAGCCTCATTTTAATAGTGGGAACCCTGTAATTTAAGGAAAGAAAAACTAAAAAGTTGTACATAATAAGTTATTTGTTTTTGTAGCAATAATAAATCTCAATTATTCAAAACAAAATAGTAAAACTTTATAGTCTTTAATGATATTTTGGTACAAAATTACTGAAGAAATATATTAAAATTATTTTCATTTTTTGTTTTTTTTTGTTTTTTTAATTTAGTCTTTTTTCACTTAATTAAAAAAATATATATTTAAAAATTCAATCTAAAAAGAAAACTTATAAAATTTTTAACTTGCTTTTCCAGGACTGTTTTAACCTGAAAAAATATATATTCTCAAAAATTATCAAGACAAAAATTATTTAAAATTTCTAGAGTCCTTATAAATTGATATGACTTTTCATCCATTTTTGCTTTTCCCTAATAAAAATAATTTTGATAGTTCATAAAGGATAATACTCACCTATTTATTAAATAGCATGTTATGAAGTTTGCTGAGATGACACAGGAAGTGAAAGTATCACGATCAGATGGAGTCAAGTAAGTAGCATCAGAAATAACGTTAAAATTATTATTATTATTATTTTTAAGTTTTGTTATATAGCAAATTATTAAAGGAATCTAAAAGTTTTTAAATAAAGTTTTTTCCTTTCATAAACATAAAAAATTTGCTAAAAGTAATAAAGGTTAGAAAAATAATAAAGGTTAAAAAAGTCATAACTGATGTTTGAGGGAAAAAACTAGACAAATAAGAGTTTTTGGAGCACTTAGGAACACTAACAGAAAAAGGATTACACTTTATTGAATGACGAGTAACACAAGAATGAATTTTAGTAGATGGCACAAGAGTCGCTAGCTTTTTAGAGCAGTGCCCATTATAGTATTTGTAAAAAAAGAAAGAGAAACAACATTACAACGATGTGATAAAGGTTGTAGGTTGGCTGCAAGAGCAGGTCCAACTATGTTTACGATGCGTTTTTGCACCTTATCTAAATGAGAAAGGGCATCATTAGAAGATCCGCCCCAGATATGGCAACAGTCTTCCATACAAGGACGGATTTGAGATTTATAGAGGTAGGGAATAGAATCCAGAGTTAGAAAGTGTTGAGCTCGATAAAGAGATGCAACTTTAGAAGATGCTAATTTTGCAACAGATTTGATATAAGGTTTCCAAGAAAGATCAGAAGAGTTAATCCAAGAAGATGAAGGGTAGATGACTCATCAAGTACATTAACCGCTTATGAATATAGGAAGGTCTAAATTATTGCGATAATGATTGGTTGAAAAAATTCTGAATTAAAGTTCACCAGCCACTGTGAGCCCCATGCTCAAGCAGAAGTGAGATCCTTTTCAAGTTCAAATGCCTCTGCAAGCAATCAGAGGGAGTTGGCTTCTTATCTTGATAAGAATAAACGGTAGTATGATCAGCGAGCAATGCCACCTTAGATGTGAGAATATCTGGAAGATTGTTAATGTAAATTAAAAAAAGTATAGGGCCAAGGATTGAACCTTGGGGAACCCCTCAGGTAACAGAATAAGAAGAAGAGTGCTGTTTATCAAGGACAACTTTTATACTACGATTGGAAAGAAAGGATTCAATAATCTTGCATGCCAAACTTATCAAATGCTTTAGAAGTGTCAAGAGCGATGGCCTGAACCTCTCCACCTTCATCTAATGCGCGATAAAACCTATAGGTTATTACTGTTAGCAAATCAGCCGTAGAACGAGAAGATCAAAATCCATATTGATGATCAGAAAGTAAGTTATTAGATTCAAGATGAGAGATAAGGTGTTTGTTAATTAAAGATTCAAAAACCTTGCTTATGATAGGAAGAAGACTAATGGAATGGTAGTTAGATGAATCAGATCGCTCTCCAGAATTTTAAAAAATAGGGATAACAGATGCTGCTTTCCAGCAGGCTGGAAAACAAGACTCTGATAAGAACTTGTTAAATAGTTTTGAAAGGATAGACAACAGTTCCGGAGAACACTTCTGCTAGACTATAACAGGTATGTTATCTGGGCCTATATACTTTTTTAAACTTCATTACTTTTTTAACCTTAAAGCTGACTGGGACTCTTTCTGAGATTTTTTTTGTTATGGCCCTTGGGTAGAAATCTTTTATAATGTATAACAGGCATGTTATCTAAGCAGGACATCACTTTAGATACAGAAGCTGGAGTGATACAGATGTCGAGCAATGGATCAACCTGTTTGACGGCTATATCAGGTAGAACGCAACTAGTGGAATCAAGAAATGATATCTACGAAAAAGTTCTAAGCAAACAATTCAGCTTTGTCTTTAGGTGAGGTGACAAAGTCTGAACCATACACAAGAAGTGGAATTACAGACTTGCCCTTATTATTGATACTATTAAAGATTCTCCAGAAGTCACGAGAGCCTAATTTTTGAGATGAAATACAAGATTTCATGATCTGAGAATAGTGGACTTTGGTGTTGGATAAAACCTTTTTACAATGGTTTCTACCAGTAATAAACAGACGTCTGTTTTCTGGAGAATTGTTTTGCTGATAGATATGGAAGTAATGGTTTCGGTTGGCAATTGCAGCAGCACAATTTGAGGAAAACCATGGAGAAGAGTGAGGCTTGATCTGGAATAGTTGAGAGGGAATAAAGGATTCCATGCCAGCCTGAATCCACAAAGTTATTTAAGAAGCAATTTTGTCAACAGGAAGATGAAAGATTTCTACCCAAGGGCCATAGCAAAAAAAATCTCAGAAAGAGTCCCAGTCAGCTTTAAGGTTAAAAAAGTAATGAAGTTTAAAAAAGTAATGAAGTTTAAAAAGCTAATAAAGTAGTAAAGGTTTAAATTTTGCTTTCCAATTCAAACAGTAATTTAAAAAAATTTAAAATAATATATGAAAAAACATGAATAAAATACTCATCAGTTCTTGAGATGTTGTCGTTTGAATGAATTCTAAAGATGTTGTCATTTGAAAATAATGTATTATCAATAATGATAATGCATTTTTGTGCTAGTAAGTGCTCTAACACCTAAATATCTTTTTTCTAATTGTCCTTGAATTAGGTCAAATTACTCTTAAGTTGCCTGTTGCTGTTTTTTATGAAAAAAATGCACATTCATTGTAGTTCCTGTATATTCTAGTCATTTTTTCGTTCAGGGTTGAATGTACACTAGAAATAATTTGTGTAAATAAAAGTAATATGATAAACTATTGACAACATTCATTTTTCTACTTTCAGATTAAGCACAAGGCAATATATATATACAAAAAATTCACCATTCACTAGTGACCTTTCATGGAAACCTTTTATTCAATCAATTGCAAATTTAGTATCTGCTAAGGTTGCAACTCTTTATCATGCTTGCAATTATCTTATTCCTTATTCCATTCTCTACCTCAACAAATATCTTATTTGACCTTGTATGGAATACTGCTGTCATATTCGGGCTGGTTCTTGTAATGGTGTAGTTTCTCTTATAGACAAGGTCTAAAAATCCATTCTTTTAATGATGCTCTTTCTCTTCTAGAAAAGATCCGAAAGGGCATTGTAAGTATAGTTAAATCTGCATTATCTGCCAAGCTTGAATCTCTCTCCCATTGTCGTAAGGTTACATCTCTTTCTTTTTTCAATAAATGCTATCAAAGTTCCTGCTAAAAGGAGATATCCCCCCCCCAAAAAAAAAAAAGTGTACATGGGATACGATATAAAATTATAATAATTATATATATATAATTATTATAATTTTGTTTCTCGCGTGGGTTTCATATGGTAAATTCCACATGATAAATCCTAAATATAGATATAGGATATAGGTGCCAAATCTGACATGGGTTATATATGGTAAATCCCACAGGGAATACTCGTTGTTTTTACCACATGTAAATCATACAGGAATTATTATTTTGTCCCACATGGGTTTTTTAGGGTAAATTCTAAATGGTATATAAGTGGAAAATACCACATATGTTATAGATCTTAATTACCACATAAAGTTTGATCCATATAGAGTAAAAGTAGTTACTACCAGGTATCTGGTAAATATATATATATATATATATATATATATATATATATATATATATATATATATATATATATATATATATATATATATATATATATATATATATATATATATATATATATATATATATATATATATATATATATATTTGCTATATATATACATGAAAGTGTCGATATACTTTTATATACTTATATATGAAAGTAGTGAATGCTTCAACAATATTTTAAAAGATGGTATAACTTTAATTATTTAAAGATAGTAATTGAAGCTTTCAGATAGACACATTTATCTGATATTCGCAACATTTTTCTGTTTAGGATTAAATATATGTGGCATTTTAGATCTATTACATATGTAGTATTTTCCACTTAAAGCTTAAATGACATTTGCCGTTTAATATTTAAATGACATTTATGAAAATTTGAAAATATGTTGAAAAATGAATTTATTTTTTTGCAAGATTTATTCCATTAAATTTACAATTACATTAAGATAGTGATACAGCTATTAGTTTGAAGCATTGTTAGCGACTCTTTTGCGATTATGGCGCCCACCTCTATCTTTTGCATTGATAAAATAGTCAGTGCTCGCTCGATGGTAATGTTCTCCACATAAATATGCTTTTTCCTGACATTTTCTGTAAAAGAGAAATATAAATATATATAATAATTAAGAAGATGCTTAAAAAATAAAATAAGTCTATTTTAAAAGTTAATTGTAACGCAATTATATTAGCATGAATTTTAATTATGAATTAGTAAATATATACTGATAATTTTAACTTACAAAGCTTTTTCTTATCTCAACATAATTTAACCTTTGCAACAACTCTTCAAAATCTTCAGAAGATGAAATAACACTAAAAGTTTTTTCATTTATAACAGGCATAATCCTTTGACGAAGTAAACCATTCACTTCCATCATTATATTTTGAAGTTGCTTTAACTCATACTCAATACTTGTGATGCGACGTTTAACTTCATTGTTATCGTTATGGGTTGATACACGTTTATATGGATTACCTTAAAATAATTTATTAAACCAAGATATATATATATATATATATATATATATATATATATATATATATATATATATATATATATATATATATATTCATATCTATATAATATGTTTTGAAACTATATATATATAGTTTTTGAAACTATATATATATTTTACGAAGTAAACCATTCACTTCCATCATTATATTTTGAAGTTGCTTTAACTCATACTCAATACTTGTGATGCGACGTTTAACTTCATTGTTATCGTTATGGGTTGATACACGTTTATATGGATTACCTTAAAATAATTTATTAAACCAAGATATATATATATATATATATATATATATATATATATATATATATATATATATATATATATATATATTCATATCTATATAATATGTTTTGAAACTATATATATATATATATATATATATATATATATATATATATATATATATATATATATATATATATATATATATATATATATATATATATATATATATATATATATATATATATATATATATATATATATATATATATATATATATATATACATACATACATACTTAAGCTTTAGTTTTACCACATGGGAAAATCCATCTTACATAAAACCCATGAATCCCACTTAAAATCCATATGGAACCCATGTGGAAAACATTTTTTTTTTTTTTTTTCAGTGGGATCACCTTTATTTTCATCAACCAAAACTCATTATTGCAAAGTTGAGTCCTCATTCAGCAAAGTTGCATCCTTTTACTGTATCTGTCCCTTCATGCTTAAAAAACTTTTATTTATCTAGTTTTTTTCTCCTACACTTTAATGTTTTATAACTCTCTCCTATCTTTATGTTTTTCTGATTTTTACAAATCTTAAATTCTTTTGTCAAACATTCCTTTTTTTAATTATATTTTTAATTTTTTAGTAACTTAATAGAGGTTGCTTGCAGCCTTGTTTGGAGTGAATTTGATAATATATTTGTATGTGTGTGTATAAATCTTAATAATGTAATATTATCATTGAGTATTTTTATCAAAACAAGTTGGTTGACGTGATATTTGATTTCAATATTGAGTCAAGGTTGATAAAAAAAAGTTGTTTATTAATTTGTTTTGTTTTTTATATTATCTACAAAACAAAAAAGCATTTTTACTTTGTTTTAGTTATTTTCTAGTTATTCTGAAATAAAAAATATACTTTTAAATGCATTAAAATTATTTTAAAGGTTTGACCTCGGACTAACACCTGGAAGACGAAATGGTATAAATATTTTTTTAAATTTTTTCAAGTCTTCAATAATTTAATTAAATATATAATAATAATAATAATAATAATAATAATAATAATAATAATAATAATAGTTGTTTAATTAAAACCTATTATTTAGCCATGAAAGCTTTTAAAGATACTTGCAAAGACATTGATGATGTTTTAAGTAGTGGTAAGGTCAAATTTTTTTGTAATATCTTTTTAGTGCATATATAAATGTAATACACTTGTATTGCAACAAAAACTTCAGTTTTTGAATAAGGTGTATAATTAATTTTTATTTCCTAGGTAAATATTGTTTGTATGTTTAGATACAGGAAGTCAAGAAGATTTACTTCAGCCTATACAAGTTTTTGCCCAATGGCCATTACTACAAGTATACTTGTTCCCTTTTCCTTTTCAGAGCATTTATTATAGTATATTATCAAGTTATTTCCATTTAGAATCTCACTTATAACAAGTGCAGTATTAATACACCATTTTGCTTTTTGCTAATCTTACTTGTGCATGTTTTTACATGATTATTTTTATTTGTTTTTCAGTTTTCTAATTTCCTCTCTTTTTGAATTATGAGTTTTTTTGAATTGTTAAGATTGCGATATAAATAATTTTTAATAAAAAAAATTTTAACTTCCAGTTTAAGAAATAGTGTTTTTAATTTTTAATTATAGTTATCATCGAGTGAAGATATGATTACCCTTCGTAATTTAGCAATATATTTAGAAGAAAGAATTAAATTGAGAAAAACGTTATATATGGATTGGAATCAAAGACGTAAGGATTAAATTTAAATGATGTTATTTAAAGTATTTTTATTGCTTCTTAGTTATATAGCATAAAATAAGAAAACTTGTAGAGAGTTTGTTACCTAAATTGCAAGGATTATCTTTTTTCAGATATTTTTCTGGTATATTCCAAAATTCTGGATATTTTTTCGACTTTTAGTTTTTAAGGATATCCAAAATATTTTCAATACATGCAAGTTAAGGTATAGATTTTAAAATGAAAATTAGGTAAAACAAATACCAGATTTTATTCAAACAATTTTCAGGATTTTTAAAATATGACTAGGATAATCTATGAAATTGTTTATTGAAGAACAAACTTTATCCATCCAAACCATTTCAATGCAGAAACATGTGTGTTAAAATGTTGATGATTAGTGACTTAAGCTTGCATTTTAGTAGCACATAGGCTTAAATTTATTTTGGATTAGGTTTTATATATGGAAATCAAAAAATGATTTATCTAAATTAACAGTAAATTTTGAATAAAATTATAATTTAAAATTTACTGTGTTATTTTTTGTCATTATTTTTAATGTCTATTTTTCTGCATTTGCTTGGTACCTCCCTAATTCTTGCCTTACAATATTATGGCCCACATTCTTTCTAGATTTTCTAACATTTGTTTCTGCTTTTTTTTTTAAGAAAAACAATTTTGGTAATAAATAATTTGTATCGTATTTATGTACAAAACACACACACATATATATATATATATATATATATATATATATATATATATATATATATATATATATATATATATATATATATATGCATACATATGATTTGTACATAATTAATCATAAATATTATGTACAAATAATATAAATATATATACATATCAACCCTCAGTATTAGGATCGGCATTCAACCTAACTACCGACCTTAAAGTGCTTTAGGTCGCCAATTTTTGGCGACCTCGTTTCTATGTTAGGTTGGCAAATTATTGCCAACCTCATTTTTTTTAATTCCGTTTTATTTATTTATATATATATATATATATATATATATATATATATATATATATATATATATATATATATATATATATATATATATATATATATATATATATATATATATATATGTATATATGTATATATATATATATATATATATATATATATATATATATATATATATATATATATATATATATATATATATATATATATATATATACATACAAACAAACAGTCCAACTAATATCAAATGTTAATATCAAATATTAGATTTATTTTTTTTTTTCATTTTATTTTGCTGATTCAATTTTTTTTAAGCAGATAAAATTTTTAAATAACAAAAAATCTATGGAAATTTTTTGTATTTATGAATGTTTGTTTTAAATAATTGCATTTTTACTTGTCTTGAAAAAGATATCTTAAATCTAAAATTGATTTTAAGTAGTGGTTATTATTTTGCATCTAGAAATTGAAGTGCGAAATTTAATCATGCAGTTAGAACAAGATAATATTGATTTAACAAAGGTATTTTAGCTAATATTATTACTATACTGTCCTTATTGTTAGTTATTATTGATGCTAGGGATTTTTACTACATTTCATATCAAATGCTTCAAGTTTATCTGTTGCCTTATCTTTTTTTTCTGTATTTTTTTAAGAAATACCTGTTTCAACATTCTAATTTTGTTTCAAAATTATTTTTAGGCAATAGAAGAACAGAGAGTAGTGTTGAATGAAAAAGAACGGTATTCATACACTTTAAAATAAAAGTTTTTTTTTATAAAAGTGTGTATTTATTTATATACTTACATTGTATATACTGGGTACAATTTTATAATAATAGTTATGCATTCTTTCTTGTTTTTGTTTTTTTATTTTTTTTATTTTGTGCTTGTTTTTACCAATCAATCTTTGTTGTTAATAAACTTTATTATTATTTAATTTAGAGAAAGCAAAAACTTTGAGAAAAAAATACGCCAAATAAATGAAAAGGTTGATTTTTTTATAATTATATTGATTTGAATGTTCTTTGTTATTTTTATTTTTTGTATACATCTATATCACAATTGTAAGAGATCGTCCATAAGATACGTACCCTTGGTTGTAGGAAATAGCGTATATGAGATAAATGCAAATAGCGTATATGAGATAGGGGGCAAGTGGTTAATTATAAATGTAAGGAGACGCTAAATTTAAGAAAATGTAAAATGTTGGGTAAGTAAATTAAAAATGTAAGTACTTTTAGGGAGGTGGAGGGTACCCAAAAAAGCGTACAGCTAAATGCAGGGGTGGGTGGGGGAAGAGAGTCAAAATAAGTGTACACACTTAACAACCCCTAAGCTTAACATATTGCTAGTTTTTTGTAAGGACATCTATATCACTGTTGTAACCTAACATGTTGGTAGTGTTTTGTTAGGACATCTAAAACACTATTGTTAGCTTAACATGTTGCTAACTTTGTAAATATTTTGTAAATAATTTGTTTTAATAATTTGTAAATAATTAAAACTGTATTGTTGAAAGTTTTAATAAATTCTCTTAAGTCATTACTACTATTTATCTAGAAATTACTACTATGGTTTTTATGCATTTATTATTTATTTAGGTTGAAAATTTACAACGATCTAATTTATCATTTGAAACACAAAAGCGCCAAGCAGAAGCTGAGGTTAGTATTTTTGTTTTAATGGTAATATATTAATTTTAAAGTTAGCACCCACAGTTTAAATAATTAAGTTAAATTAAACTGTTTTATTATTAGCTTGAGAAACAAAAAGATTTACTGTTAAAAGAAAAGCAAGAAAAACAAAGACTTAAACAAGTAATCATTTTTATTTAAATATAAAAAAATCTATACAACTTTAAGCTTATTTTAAGTTACAAACAGATTTCCTGCTTTACAAATATTTATTTTAATTCAGCTAAAATAAAATCAATCTAATAAAATATTTATTTTATTTCAATAATGTTTTCTTTAAGCTTTTTTTCTTTTTTATTCTTAATTTATTTTTTTTATTTGAAATGTTTATATGTTTAAACTTTTATTTTACATTGTTTTTTTTTAGTTTATTTTTAATCTGGTTCTGTTTTTATTTTATTAATTTTTATCTGTTTCTGTTTTTATTTTATTTTCAGTTCTTGATTAAGAAGGTTCCAATATCAAAAATATGATATTTATTGTTATAATATTTTGTGTAATTGTAGAAAATTGACATTGGTTTTGTTAAATTCACACAAAGAGGTTTTATTTATAGACATTAAAGGATCTGACTTCTTCTGAAAGGTTACGCTGGAAGAAAGAGTGTGTAAGTTTGATGCTGGTATTGATTTTTTTTTTGTAACTAGTTATTTTTTATATTATTTTTGTTTTGTTATTAATTAAAGGACAAACAAGTAAGAGCAACTAAACTTGAAATGGAGGAACATATTTTGGAAAAATCTGAAAAATTAAAGCAGCTTCGAGATGTTGTTCAGGTATGACTTTGTTGTTGATGTTGTTGTTTTTTTTTATTCTGTAAAAAGAATTTGAATTAAATTTTTCTGAAAATTAAAATCTATTTGATCAATAAGTTCTTTTTTGATGCAAATTAATAATTTTTAAATATTTTATCTAAAATGCATTTATTAAATTTAATAAAAATATATTTGTTCAAACATAGTTTAATAATTTTTTTTTACCTGAATACAGCTTTATTTGTTCTCCTTGATATTAAGTACTTTTTTATTAAATGTTTTATTAGAACTTAGATCTTCCTCAACAACAAAATTCAACTCGATTAAGTGTTATGCCGATGCAAAATTATAATTATAACTACTCCTCTGAAATGATGGAAACTAGAGTTAAAAATGTGGAAGAAGAAAAACCTTCTTTGTTAGTTAAAACTCCTCGTCCACCAAAAGTTGCAGCTAAACCACCTACAAAACTAAGAACTAAAACACCAAATGGTACAACACCTAAGTACAGATCAAAATCTCCTCCACCTGTTCTCAATCCTACTCCGAAAGTCAGTAATCTGGTAAATATTTTATATTAATAAAGTCATATAGGTATTTTTTTTATATTTATGTATATATGTGCTGATATAAATGTAAAGATATTTTTATAGGTAAGTATGCATTAGCATAAGTCTCCCTAATTGCAATAGTTTATATTAATCATGAAATAAACATTGTATCATACTTCAAAAAAATTTCAATTACCCTTTAACATCATTTAAATGAATATATATATATATATATATATATATATATATATATATATATATATATATATATATATATATATATATATATATATATATATATATATATATATTTACATAGCAAAATTCAAAATTAGTAGTGTCAAAAAGTCCTTATCCCAACACTTTTAAATATTTTGAAATTCGAGTTTTAATGTTGCAGGTATAATCCTGGATATATTTATGAAACCACCAGAATCTGCTCAACAATGGTTGCTGATTATTTAAAATCTGATCTTCTGATCTATCATTAATTGCTTCATAAACCAAAACTCAATATCAGGTGACTTGTCATTCAGCTAAATTGCATTCATTCTCTGTAACTGTTCCTTCAAGCTAAAAAAAACATTGTGTTCATCTAGTTCCTTTTTTTTCTTGGCATCAGTTATATATTATATAAATTGGCATGTTATAATTACCATGGTGAGGTGTGTCTATAAAGTGTTGATTCTAATTATTGAATGCAAAATTTGGAATAAAAAATGTTTTAAACTGAACATCAAATTTAGTGTTTTACACCAATAGCATTGCAAACAACAAGTTTTCTGATGACAATGATAATGACAGTGACAATAATTGTAATAAAAAAATGATGACAATAACATTAAAATCTTTAAAATCAGAAACATTAAATGATATTTTGCAAACATGGACATTTTTTAGAAAGTATAGTTAATGTAAACACAATTACAACAGCTAGTATAAAATTGGGGAAAAATTTTTATCAACACTAATCTGAATCAAACCAAATCAACTTGATAATGACACCCATTACTTACGATTAATTGATAAAAGTTTACCTACAACTAATTATGCAAAGGGTTTAATTGTGATCAGTGGAACAATTTTATTGGAATGAATTTGTACTATAATAAATTGTACTATAAAATTTTTTTTTATTTTTATATAAATGTATAAAATTGTTGGGTAGCACTTGATACTTTAGTGTGATTATGCTTGATAATACCATAAATGTATAGAAAAAATTGGTTATTTGGACTTTGATCTTAAGGTTACCTTTAGTCATAAATTCAAGCTGTGTTTCATAAGATTAAGTTGTTAGAATTAAGTTGTGTTTAATAGATGTTTTTTTTATTATAAATGATTTTTTATTACAAATATAATAAAATAAATATTTATTATAAATATTTATTTTATTATAAATATTTATTTTTTATTATAAATATTTGTTTAAATATATACATAATTTATTAAAAGAACCATATTGGTAAGTCAATTTTTATTAATATTATAATTTTTTTAGCTTATAACAGATAAACAAACTCCCATTCGATCAAAGCATCGTCGGTCAAGGTCATCAGACTATTGGTTGGAACACAAACCTTCGACTACATTAAGCACTGGTATTTTTATAGAAAAGTTTGTTAGTTTGATTACTAAAAATAATTGATAATTTGTTGGTTTTAATGTTTTTCGACATTATTTTTTTGCTTTTCAACTTAATTTTGTTTATCTTTGTCTTAGATACTGTAATGCAGCCTCAAATACGTAAAAAGAAAACTGTCAACACACCTCATGTAAAAGACTTCAAGGTATTTCTGATGTTTATTACAGTTTTGATAATTTTGATATCCAGCCCTGCTTTAGTGACTGACTGAGTTCAGTTTTGATAAATTTACTTTTAAATTTTCAAAAATTTATTAATTAAATTGTTTGGGCGTATTATATTAAGTTTCCATTTTCCAAAGTTCTGTATAAAGTAGCAGTTATGAAAAAAAAATTAACTAAAGTTAATAAGTTTTAATTAAAATATTTTGTAATTCTAAGTAGGTGTAAAACTTTTGCAAAATAAATGTACTGCAATTTAATTATTTCAAATGATGAATTACTAGTAGCTTGTAATCTAACCCTATGGCAATGTTAAAGCGACATTATAGGTCTGCTTTGCAAATGTGATTTTGTAAGCAAGGGATTGTGAGTCATTGCTTTCTTAAATAGCATGAACTCATCGTAAAACTTTTGATACATACAGCATTATTTTATCATAAATATTAAAATGAGAAATATTTGTTATTGATTTAATGTGTGAAGAATTTGTTAATGGTAAGTTTAATATATTTTTTAACAAAATTTTTATAATTTTTAATTTTTTTTTTAATGTTTTTGACTAATCAATCATTTATCAGCAGAAATTGTTGTAATTTTTTATATTCTTTTTTCTTTACGTACATAATTTTTAATTAATTTGCATTTATTGATATGTTGTATCTGAGGCTTTACAATAGCTTGCACTCAGTCAGTCACTAATCTCTGGGTAGCCGGAATGACAGAAATTTTTAGTTTTTTGTTTCTGTTAATGGACTTTCGATATATTAAAATATTTTTAATATTAAATATTTTTAATATATTGAAAAGAACTAAGACAGTTTGCCTGACGACCGTTGCCGTTTTATGTTTTTTCCCCTTAAATTTAGTAATATACAATTTTGGTCAAACTGTCTTTGTATTATTGTATTGGTTTGTATTATTATTGTATTATTGTATTATTGTGTTGTATTATTGTATTGTATTATTGTTATATGGTTGTTTCGAATACTTCCTTAAAATAATTTTTGTTTGTTTTAGAAAGCGTTTGGCTTAGATTTAATGTTTAGTGTAAGTTTGATGTTTTTAGACAAGTTTTTATTTGAAAGGTGTTAGAAGGTTTCAGCATTGAGTTCAGCATGTCTCTACTAACACTAACATTTTAAAGTTTTATATATATATATATATATATATATATATATATATATATATATACGCACACTGGCGTAGAAACAGGGGGGACAGAGGGGGCGATAACCCCCCCCCCCCCCATTCTCCAATTAAAACACTAGGGGGCGGACACTGCATTTAGCCCCCACCCCCTCATTTCCTAAACAGTTTTAAAAAAACTTTTATGATAGCAACAGCGGAATTATCATTTTCCGGTCTGCAATGACTCAATCACAATAAAACATCACCATGGAAAAGTATATCCATAAAACTGTTAAAGATACTATTGTATACCAACTATTTTTTTAATAAATATTTTTTAAATGGCAGATGACTAATCACGTTAAAAAGATGATCAATCACGTTGCCTGTGATATATAGATAAATAAATAGATCATTTTCATCTATTTTGCTGTATCATTCAAAATTGAGGAGCATTTCCGTTTTTAATATATGTTTTCTGCCCCCTTCTTCCCCCCTCCCTCCCCAACTTTCGAGACCTTACTATGCCACTGTGTGTGTGTATATATATATATATATATATATATATATATATATATATATATATATATATATATATATATATATATATATATATATATATATATATATATATATATTATATAATTATTTGTTTCTTTTTAAGTATTTACAAGTATCATGTATGTATCAAAAAAAAAAAAATACTGCAATTCCTTGCTTCACTATGCACGCTTTTATAATATGATCCTCAAGATCAATGATTTTCACATTTTTGTTTTTAATACAATCATTTTGTCTTTTAAATGAAATCTCAATTAAAATGTATTTATTTGGTTTAAAATAATTTTTTTAACAAAATGTTACAGTAGTTGTTAAAGTTATAAGAAATAAAGTGCGGAGTATCCTATTTTTAAATAACATTTTTTTCTTATTTCTAATTGGCTATTACATAAGAATATAATTAACTAAAGGTGTATATAGTCTAGAAAAACATAAAAATTAACACAATCGAACTAATTTTTTTTTTTTTTTTTTTTTTTTTCTATTAGGCTACACCCAATTATATTTTAACACATCAAGAAGAGGATTCGTGTGGAGAAATTGAAACAAAACTAATTAAGGTATATTACTCGCGTAATTTACTTACGTATATTATTTAAAATAACCATTCACTTAAAATACTATTCACTTGAAGAAATTAGTTCACTAAATTAAATTCTTTTCTTCGCTTAAGACATCTTTTAGTCTGTAATCTTTAATTCTGTAAGTTATATATAATCCATATTTAATAGTAAAGCTATATTCTTATATATATATAATGATTTAGGGAGAGATTATGAAAACCAGAGGAGGTGGAACTAGTGTTCAATTCACAGATGTAGAAACATTAAAGAAAACGATTGAGGGCAAATCTTCAACTCCTAAAATGTTAGCATTAATTTCATTTTTATATATAAATGAAAGGAAAGAAAAAATGATAATTTTTTTTTTCTTAAGCATCAGATTATATTAATTTTTTTTTAAATATAAAATCAATGATTTTATATCAATGATATATATTTAGAGGAAAGCGGAAATCTTTAGAAGATCGCGTACAGAGCGAAGATAGTTGGACTAGCGTTGAGACAAGGGTATCAACTTGTTTATATGTTGTTTATAATTTAAAAGCTTAGGCATTATATTTAGCTTCTTTTTTATATTCTATTCTAGTGCGCAGTTGGTATTGAAGGAAAGCCTGGGTGTGAACCTGGCCTAATGCATCATGCAAAGTAAGTTGGTTTTTGAACAGAAGCATTTGTTGATTACTATGGCTTAATATTAGTGTGTGTGTGTGTGTGTGTGTGTGTGTGTGTGTGTGTGTGTGTGTGTGTGTGTGTGTGTGTGTGTGTGTGTGTGTGTGTGTGTGTGTGTGTGTGTGTGTGTGTGTGTGTGTGTGTGTGTGTGTCTCTCTCTATATATATATATATATATATATATATATATATATTATATATATATATATATATATATATATATATATATATATATATATATATATATATATATATATATATAAATCGTATCCTTTTTCTCATTTCAGGAAATCGAAGAACTGATTTTAAAATATTTGCTTTATGATAATTTATTAAAAATATTTGAAATTTTGTTACACACGATTTAATTTTTAAAAACACTGCATTTTGATTAGTTGTTAAATAACTTGGAACCTGATTATATGAGGCGAGTTTATAGATAATAACCGACTCATCATAACAACAATGTGTGGGTTTGTTAATGTTTAAAACAAAACTTTTATAATTAAGTTACTTTTCTTACGTAGTTTTGCAGCCATTTAAGTCTTTTTACTCCATCAAAAACATCTTGCAAAAAGCTATTTAACAATTATCTAAGTCAAGCTAATCAAATTATCCTGATGATGTATCATACCGGTTCCATTTAGCCAACTCGCTTTCCTCTAATCAACCTAAATGTGACTGGTTTTGTGTACGAAATAAATTATGTGTAGTTTTTTTATATATATAATCGTTTTATAAACGAAAAAACTATTTATAATAGAAATGTTGTTTTAAAATGTATGAAGTATTTCTTTCTATATACTTGGTATTTTTCCTTCTAAACATTAGTTTATCCAACAATAATTAAGCTATAATTTTTGAAAATTATCTGTCACTTGGCGATGCTTGCAGCTTTTTTTCTATGCTCATAAGATGGTACTTCGCCATTAAGAATATAGCTAATTATAATTTTAACCTTCAAATAACCTTTAATAGCCTTAAACATTTTAATCTCAAGTTCAGTACTTTTCACAAAAAACGAAAAGAATAGTTTAAACAACATTAAATAGACTGGTATGACTTAACATTTTCTGTAAATAACGCTTTCAACGTACTGTAAGATTGGGTGGCTTTGGCCCATTTTGCATCTTAATGTCTATTGCATGAAAGCCACAAAAGTTATTTCCTCAAACACTAAGTACTTTTAGAAGTGCATAGAAAGGACAGTTAGAACTATCTGTCTCCTATTTTAAATTATTTACCTAAAGTATCTTTTGAATGGTGGGCCAAAGTCGCCCTATGTGTTAGGGTGACTTTGGCTCAACCCTGTAAAAAGGAACTAAAGGAAGCAAAACAACAATATTTAGGAAAAGAAAATTAAATTATTTAAATTTAATCTATTATTTTCATTTATAACACACGATATATCTGTTAAACATAAGCTTTTACCTGGGACAGCACATACTTTACGTCGCTTTGGTTTTTTAGAACCATCTGAGGAATCATCCAGTGACTTACATAAATCATCTAAAAATGATTGGCTTACTAAATCAGTAGTTCAGTTTAAACCTACATTACAACATGGTAGTCGTGAAAGCACTTAAGACTTGTCCAATGGAAAAATTCCAGTTTTGCGAAAACCAGCTCTAAGGTTATCATTCCCATGTTCATTTAAGTTGGTAATTAAACGGTCTAAAAGTCTAGGAAATTTATCTTTAGGAAGAGAAGCAACTCTCCTTCCTTTTCCTTTCTCCTTCCATTCAAATAATATTTTGCGCCAGTTAATCTTCATAGGTCTAAAGTAGGCAACATCTAATGGCTGCGTGAGATGTGTAGAGTTTGCTGGTAATGCCACAAATTCTATGTTATTGCTTTGACATGTATCCAGTACTGCAATGCTCAAATGTGAAGATACGTTATCACCTATAATAACACTTCTTCCTTGAGCCTTCTTAAGTCTTGGAACAGGTAAAGAGAAAAACCAGTCCTCAAAACATGTTGAGTCAAACCAACTACTTTTTGATCTGTTATAACGTGCTTTTGGTGGCCCATGTTCCATCCATGTATTCCATAACGACTGAGCTTTGTAAACAATATAAGGTGATAGCAATTCACCATTAGGATTGCCACAAAACATTACAGAGAATGAGGTCTTTGTAGAATTAATGATGCGTTTAAATTGGCGATTGGATTTGGTGATTGGATTGGCAATTAATAATTGGCGATTGGACTCGATTTTTTTAAAAAGGATCGATTCCAATCACCACCTGGAAAATTATTTTTGAACTGAGGTATAATGATGCCATTTTTCTCTAAATACCCTGTTACTATGCATCTTAAATCATATTTATCAACAGGAAAACCAAACTCAGATGATTTTATTGCATATGCCTTAAACATGTCTTCTTCTTTTGATGTAAATATTTGCTAACCACCATACTTTTTATGATATCTCTGTTTTATTTTATTTTTTAATGTTGATCTTGGTGTATCGTATTTCAAAGATGCTTGTCTTTGAGTAATTAAACCATTCTTTAAATCTTTTAATTCATTATCTAACTGTTCTAAAGTATAAGTATCATATTTTCTTTTTCCACGATTTGGCTTGTAATTTTGTGGCATATTTAAACTAAGAACTAAACAAATTTCACTATAATTTTATACTAATTTACTAATACAAACTGTTATACTGATTTTCTATTGCATTACTACTACAAAATTTTTCATTCCAACATAGTAACTACCATAATATCTATAAATGATCACTAAAAAAGATTTACTCTAATACATGGGGTGACTTTAGCCCGGGCCAATGTCACCCTATGTAGTGGGCCAAAGACAACCTATTTTTTTTTAACCAAAGTGTTGCTAACGTGTTGTACCAAGCTAATAACAAAAATTTCGTAGGGCTAAAGCCACCTAATCTTACAGTAGTCATATTTTTAAAGCATCTTAAAAATTAGTAAAACTGGTGTTCGTATCAAAAATGTTCTTACGTCAAGAATATTTATTCAGTACCCGGTGGGAAATGAGCTAGCGACTAGCTAGCTTTGTAGCGATTTTTTTTTTATTATTTCATTTTTTCCTAATGTCTTTAACATCTTTAAAAAATCGATTTTTAGTATTGATTCTTATTATAATTATAAAGATAATTGAACTTTAAACATATATATATATATATATATATATATATATATATATATATATATATATATATATATATATATATATATATATATATATATATATATATATATATATATATATATATATATATATATATATATTTCATTTTTTACTATTTAGTACATTTTTAAAATGTTGTTTTTTTTAAAAAAATTTATTATTTACTTTTTAGCCTGCTAAGAAAGTTAATTTACGCTAAATTAAAACGCTGCATTAATTAATTTTTCTAAGCGATTTCTTTTATTTACGCTAAACCTAAGTATAGCGATTTTAGACTAGTTTTGTTCGAAATTTTTTTAAACTACATGACCCCTCTGAATCGACAACAACTGGTATTGTACGTACAATCAATAATCGATTTTTTACAACGCCACAACGCAATCACCTCAAAAAATCTCATTTAAAATTGTAAAAAATTAAACTTAACCTTCGGTTTCTTCAACTCCCAATGATTAATCAAAGGATAGCATGTTAACTGTAAAGAAAATGAAAGAAAAAAGCAAACTTCAATCGAATAAAAACATTTGCTTTTTCATTTTACATTTAAAGTTACATTATTATATAACTTTAAATTAACTATTTTTATTTAGGTAATCTAATTATTTTTTTCGCTGAACTCCATTACATAATTCTGTATACTAGTGGGTGTTTTAGGAACATCAAATCCACGCATTATTAAGTATTTTCTTAAATCTTCTGAAGTACAAAAAAACGTAAAACAATAATCCGTCTTAAGTTACCATTCTAGATATTACAGCAGAAAAACTTGCGTCTACTTTTGAATTATAAAAATTTTAAAAATTTTTCTTTTTCTATTTAAACTAACCGCACTCGCCCCAGCAACGCTTGAATCATTGCCAAATTTTCGTTTGTTTAATACCTTGTTGTGCTTAACTCGCAACTGGGTATGCATTGGTGTCTTACACCCAATGTCTTTAAAGTCTGCTTTCACTGTGTGCACTTCGCCACTTGGTTTATTGTCCCTCGTAAAAAATAATTCCACACCAAATTTGATGATTTCTCTTTGAATACTTCTACAAAATTTTCTTCTTGCTGTCCCGACATCCGAAAGATCAAGTATACACAAATGATAAATTTATGCGACGTTAAAACCGATAAAACTTACCTAATATGCTTTGAACTGGGCTTATATAATAAATATTATTTAATAAATATTATTAAAATAAGTGTAAACTCTCGCAGCCTTCTTGTTCACAATTTCACAACAAAATGTGTTTCAGTTTTTCATTTTGGTTTTCGCTTTTAAGTACAACAAAAAAAAAAATCGAATTCGAAAAAAACTAACAATATAAAAATCCGAATTTTCCAGAACTTTCTTTCTATTCCGGAGTTTCTTTCTATTCCGGAGTTTCAAATTTAATAAAAACAAATGAACTTTGGAATTTCGAAACTCTAAAATCCGGATTTGGAATCCCTATAAATAAGTGGTAAATATATGTAGGGGGAAACGTGGCAAGATGGAGAACCTTTTGTCAGTATGTTTATGTTATCTTATTTGTTCATTGCATGAACTTTAACTTTGCAATCAGAAAAATTTGAAATTAAAATTAAAATAAAAAGTTCATAAATTTATCATTTGGGTACGTGAACGGGGCAAGTTGACTTATGCAATTTTTATCTCCAATTTTATAGAATTTTAAAAACTACCAACTACTTTAACTAAAGTAACACAAAATAAACAAGTGTTGCAAAAAAATGATTCTAAAAAAGTTTTGATTGCTCTAATTAAAAAAGCTGCTCTAAGTTTTTCTTAATCAATTAATCTATTATGAAAAATCAATGGTGTTCTGAAGGACACCATTGGTTATGAAAAACCAAAACCAAGGTATTTTTTTTTTATGCAAAAAAGTAAACTTATGCGAATTAGAGTTTAAAAATACATAATGTAAATATTGTTTTGTTTTCACCCATTTTTAAGTTTTTTGTTGAGTTGTTATATGATAAGCTATCTTGCCCCATTCGCCATCTTGCACCGTTTTTCCCCATTTCTTGCGCACATTTCTTATTTATTTGAATAATATAACTTGAACAAACTATTTTTGAATCTACTAACATTAGATTGATTTAAAAGATTAGCATATAAGAATTTTTAATCTAGGTTCTCTTGTTCTGTTAATTACCGAATGGTTTAATCAGGTCTAAACTGTTTATCTTCAATGCTGCAGCAGTATTTAAAACAAGTTTTTTTTCTTATTACTTATTAACATGAAGTTGAGTGGAAAACTCTTTAATTTGAGTAAATATCAATATTTTATAAGTTTAGCTTTATATACATAAAGTGAACAACCAAATTAACCAAAAACAACAGTAATTTTTGGGGCTAAAATAGCACATGTAGCCGGTGCAAAAAACGTCATAATATTGAAAGACCCCGGTCGACGTATCTAAAATGGTACAAAATTTTATTGAAATCTTTTTTTTTGCTGGGTTCTGTGATACGACTATAACAGATTTTTCACAGTTTTTAATAAACTAATAACAAATAACCGACATTGGTGAGAAAGGAGGCGTGAACTTCCTAGTTAAATGCTTTTCCGCTGTGCTCTGTGATAAGACCGTAAGGATTTCGGGGAGCACCTTAACAACCACC